TGTCTCAAAATAAAAAAAAAATGCCTCCCAGAAAATTGTGATACTCAGAAGTTTGGGAATTAGAATTAATACCTGGTCTTTAAACAGCAAGTATTTGAAACCCCCTCTTCAACCTCTGAGTCTGCTGCTTAGCTGTGCTTCCTTGGGAAAGTGACTTAAGCTCTCTGAGCCTCATTTGCCTTATTTGGAGAATGGGGACAACTCTAACTACCTCTCAGGGTGGCCATAAGGAACACATGATAGGCAGAGCATTAAGCTCAGGGCCTGGCACAGAAAATGTTCTCCAAATTAGAATGTGCTCATTAGCTGCTACATTGATTATTCCAGCCAAGAATCTTTGGGATTGTAGGATGAACATGAGAAGCTGAAGGAATCAAAGTCCAAAAACTCTGGACTTTACTCCTGTCCAGAGCTGCTGATGTTAGGAATGACAGGCTCACTGGGAAAGAAGTGGAGCAGACTGCCTAGAGGAACCAGGAGCGGGGGGCCCAGGCCAAGTCCAAGGCAGAGGCTGTTCATTTCTAGCCACTGACATGGCCTCTAGGTCAGAGCCCTGGGCAGATATAACCTGCAAGAAACATAGCAGGGCTCTGTGGTTAAGACCTGAGGCTTAAGGGCTCAGAGAGTGCTGGGTTCAAGTTCTGACTCCTGTTTTAGTAATGCCTGACCTCAGATAAGAGACTCAAGAGGCTCCACTAGGGAGGCAGGCAGCACACCATGGCTACTCAGCCAGGTTCTGGAGGCAGATAGCTTCGTTGTTGCTTATGTGTTAGTCATTGTGGCCATCAGTCTTTTATCTGGCGAAACCTTTGGCTTATAACTGGTTTGGGCGTGTGATTGTCACCTTTCACCTCATTCTCAGGCCCATCCACATGACATGGAACCTGGAGCTTTCCTCCCAGTTCCATCAGGGTTGGGGGCCCCAACATCCCTTACTCTCAACCATAGAGGGCTCTGGGCCCTTGGCCTGGGTTTTCTCCCCTCCCTCTCTCTGCAGACAGCCCCTCCTGTTTTTGACAGGGCCTCACTCTGTCACCTATGCGGGCGTGCAATGTGTGATCATGGTTCACTGCAGCTTCAACCTCCTGAGCTTGATCAATCCTCCCACTTTAACCTCCTGAGTAGCTGGGTGCCACCACACTTGGCTATTTTAAAATTTTTTTGTGGAGGTGAGGTCTCACTGTGTTGCAAAGCTGGTCTCCAACTCCTGGGCTCAATCCATTGTCCCGCTTTGGTCTCCCAAATTGCTAGGATTATAGGCATGAGCCACCACACCCTGCCCAGCTGATGTGGCCCCTTCTGAGCAAAACTGGAGTGGGGCACTATTTGGTGACACTGCTCTGTGACACATTTTTTTTTCTTTTTTCAAGACGGGGTTTCGCCATGTTGGTCAGGCTGGTCTTGAACTCCTGACCTCAGGTGATCCACCCACCTTGGCCTCCAAAGTGCTTGGATTACAGGCGTGAGCCACCAGCCCAGCCTGTGACACATTTCTGGGTCAGGCCACCCAGAAATGACCCCTTTTAGTCCCCAGGAACAACAGTGTAGGCTGTACTGCGTTAGTATTTTGAACTCTGTAGGTGCTGGATGACAAATATTTTCGAGTAGGGTTTACACCAGATATGATCAAACAAACCATGTATGTGTACACAGCAGCAGATTATAACCTCTGCCACCTGTTTTCCAGCACATGGGGGCACACCCTGAGGAATCCATATCTCGCAACCAGTTGCTCCTTACTGCCCCCGGTCGCTTCAAATTCCTGAGAGGGGTGCTGCCATAGAACCCCCTCTTCTATGTGTTCTGAGGATTCAGCCTTCCTGAATCCGGCCTGGCAGGCAGGAGCCTTCCCAACAAGACCCTCCCAGGGCTTACTTCCCAGGGCAGTTGGGTGCATCTCTGCGTGGACACTGCCTCCTCGAGGTCATGCCCACTATGACACCTGGGAGAGTGGAGCTTACACAATACAAACAGACCCTGGTGATGCTTTCCTTCTTAGTGCTCTCTCTGGTTGCCTCAAGATTGAACCAAAATGCAGAGCTGGGTTACAATTGTGTTTGGGGGAGGCTTTCATCTTGCACCAAGAATCCAAGCCGACAAAGCCGACAAATCACCATCCCTGATCACCTTTCAACCAGACTGAATCCCTTGTATCCTGGGCCCACTAAGTTCTCTCTGGAATACTCTCTCATATTCTTTTCTTTTTTGAGACGGAGTTTCACTGGAGGCTGGAGTTCAGTGGTGTGATCTTGCAACCTCCGCCTCCTGGGTTCAAGTGATTCTCTTGCCTCAGACTCCTGAGAAGCTGGGATTACAGATGCATGCCACCATGCCAGGCTAATTTTTATATTTTTAGTAGAGATGGGGTTTTGCCATATTGGCCAGGATGGTGTTGAACTCCTGACCTCAGCTGATCCAACTGCTTCAGTCTCCAGAAGTGCTGGGATTACAGGTACCCAGCCCTCTCCCACATCCTTATCTGGCTACCTCCAACTGGACAGACATTGATGTCTCTTCCCCTGAGAAGTTTCACAGTGTCCCACATTGGTTAGATGCAGCTTTAACGTGCTTCCATAACCCCATGGCAGCGTTTTATCTAAGCATATTGTCATGGCTGCTTTGGTCTCTGACCTCCCACTGGCAGGCAAGTGGTGTGTGGTAGGGACCCAGAGACTGGAGCTACCCAGCACCTGGCCCTGAAAAATTTTTTGTGTAGGAAGAGGCAAGATCAGCCAGCTCTCCACATAGAGAAAATGGTGTAAGGTGAGAAAACCTCAAGGAAAGGCTCACCTCTCCTGGGGCTCCCACCCACTCAGAGCCTGGCTGCTTCCCTCTCCTCCTCCTCTCCCACCATAAAACTGGGTGGCCAGCCAGGTGAGGTGGCTCAAGCCTGTAATCCCAGCACTTTGGGAGGCTGAGGTGGGCAAAACTTGAGGTCAGGAGTTCGAGACCAGCCTGGCTAACATGGTGAAAACCCTGTCTCTACTAAAAATACAAAAATTAGCCAGGTGTCGGGGCAGGCGCCTATAATCCCAGCTACTGGGGAGGCAGAGGCAGGAGAATCACTTGAACCCATAAGGTGGAGGCTGCAGTGAGCTGAGGTCACACCACTGCACTCCAGCCTGTGACAACACTCTGTTACACACACACACACACACACACACACACACACACACCCCATATGGCCCAGAACATTGAAGGAGGAGAGAGGGTAAGGCACTCAGGCACTTGCTGTTTCATGCAAAGCAAAAGCTAGGTGGGACCCAGCCAGGGACCGTGGCTCATGCCTATAATTCCAGCACTTTGGGAGGCCAAGGCAGGTGGATCACCTGAGGTCAGGAGTTCAAGACCAGCCTGACCGACAGTCTCTAGTAAATACAAAAATTAGCCAGGTGTGGTGGCACACGCCTGTAATCCCAGCTACTCAGGAGGCTGAGGCAGGAGAATCACTTGAACCCAGGAGGCAGAGGTTGCAGTGAGCCGAGATTGCACCACTGCACTCCAGCAAGTGTGAAACCCCATCTCAAAAAAAAAAAGCTGCGTGGGACCTAAGATGTGTGAGAGCCTCAGAAGCCCCTCAGTTCTGGTTCTATCTCCAGTGAGGTCACTAGCGCTCACCAAGACCTAAGGGAACTGGAGCAAAGCCTTCATCAAGGCAAATGCTGAGTGTGTATGAGATGCAGGTGGAAAAGATGTCTTTTGATGTGAATTTAACAAAATCTTGTTCCCCGGGCCATCTGGTTGCTAAGAGAGTCTGGCGCAAGGCCTTGTATGTGGAATGGGGTTAGACAGACCTGGGTGCTGGTTCCAGCTGCCCCTGACTCACTGTGGGGCTTTGACAGGTTGTTTACCCTCTTGGAACCCTTTCTTGATCCAAATGGATAAAGAGCCACAGCGCCCGGCCCTATTTCATTTATTTATTTAGGGACAGAGTCTCGTATGTTGCCCAGGCTGGAGTGCAATGGCACCATCTCGGCTCACTGCAACCTCTGCCTTCTGGGTTCAAGCGATTCTCCTGCCTCAGCCTCCTGAGTAGCTGGGATTACAGGCATCTACCACCACACCCGGCTAATTTTTTTTGTGTGTGTATCTTTAGTAGAAAGGGGGTTTCACAATGTTGGCCAGGCTAGTCTCAAACCCCTGACCTTGTGATCCGCCTGCCTCAGCCTCCCGAAGTACTGGGATTACAGGCATGAGCCACCATGCCCGGCCCCTAAAATTTATTTTTAATAAGAAAAAAAATTTACCTCTGGGAACACAACATAATTTTTAAAATTTTTTATAGAAAGGGAGTCTTTCAGCCAGGTGCAGTGGCTCATGCCTGTAATCCCAGCACTTTGGGAGGCAGAAGTGGATCATGAGGTCAAGAGATTGAGACCATCCTGGCTAATGTGGTGAAACCCCATCTCTACTAAGAATACAAAAAATTAGCTCGGTGTGGTAGCACATGCCTATAGTCCCAGCTACTCAGGAGGCTGAGGCAGGAGAATAGCTTGAACTTTGGAGGCAGAGGTTGCAGTGAGCTGAGATTGCACCACTGCACTCCAGTCTGGCAACAGAGGGAGACTCTGTCTCAAAAAAAAAAAAAAAAATGGCTGGTCTTGAATTCCTGGCCTCAAGAGATACTCCTGACTTAGCCTCCCAAAGTGCTGGGATTACAGGCATAAGCCACCACACCTGGCCCACTCTAAACTCTTGCCTGCTTCTCCCCAACTCAGAAAGGCAGCATTGCAAAGTACAGGCTTGAGTCTGACAGAGGTTCAAATCCCTGTTCTGCCATTTGCTGGCTGTGTGACTCTGGGCAGGTCACTTTGCCTCCTCTCTGAGCCTCAACGTCTTCATCTGTAAGATGGGGATAATAATGCTAATTCCTCACAAGATGATTTTAAGCATCAGAGATAATGGATATTAAGCACTTAGCACAATGCCTGGCTCATGTAAGCCTGTTATAATCCAATGCAGGCTCTCTTTATCCCAGGTACCATTGGGGGCTATTGGAGTAGAGAGAATCAGTATATGTTTATTGACAAATAAAATACATGTACCCCTATACAAGTATCACTACAACATTTCAGGAACCTTGGAGCTGGGAACGCCCCTTCCTCCCGGCCCTCCTCTCCTCTAGGCTCCTTCCGATTCATCTTGGGCTCTCTAGAAAAGTGCTTCTGGCATTTTCTCACTAGAAACTCTGTAGGTGTGCTGGTTGGGCTCTTGGGGTTTATCATGGCCACACTGTCCCTGGGTGCTGCTCAGTCATTCACGTCCAGACCAAACTCTGGATACAACTCTTTGGTGGTGACACCTTGGATCACAGCTGAAAGGAAGGAAGGAAGGAAGGCTGAATGTCCAGTGGGGAGGTGGGAGGGAGTACAGCTAACGCCCTGAGCCAGTGTCATTGCCCTGACCCACTAGGACCATCTCTGGCTACAAGCCAGTGCCCACACTTGTGTCTCATCTAACTGGCTGAGGTAAGCTCCCTGCTATCCTTCCAGGCTGCCCCCCATGGGCCCTGCCTGGCCACTACACGCCAATAGCTCCCACTGGAGCTCCTCCATGTGCCAGCCACTGTGTTCAACACTGGACCTATGAGGACTCCTTGGACCCTCACCCCATTTTGAAGAGGAATGAAATAGCGCTCCCTCGATTCCATTCTCCACACAGAGCTGCTGGATTCATCTGCTTCAAATGTAAGCTGACTGTATGCTGTGCGTGCTGGACATATCAGACTCCACCGCATGGCCCACAGGCTTGATCGAGTTTGCCCCTCTGGAGCCCCCATGATGCTATTCTGCTTCCTTTCTCCACAAAGACTGGTCCTTTATCCTGGGGAAGGGTTCTCCTGAGAGCCCTCCCCTGACTACCTTATCTTACACCCAGCGCCCTGCTGTTCATACCTCAATATTCTCCTCATCTCTGCCCTTTGTCGCCTTCACAGCACCTAACACATTTTGTAATTAACCTGCTGAGTCTACTTACTTCCTGGGTATTCCTCTACCCACAACGGGAAAACAAACCACATGAGAGCAGAGACCTTCAAGTGTCTGGTTCACTAAATAGAAAAAATTAGCCGGGCGTGGTGGCGAAATCCTGTAATCTCAGCTACTCGGAAGGCTGAGGCAGGAGAATTGCTTAAACTCAGTAGGCAGGAGGCGGAGGTTGCAGTGAGCCAATATCACACCACTGCACTCCACCCTGGGCAACAAGAGCAAAACTTTGTCTCAAAAAAAAAAAAACGTGTCTGGTTCATCAAAGTGTCCCCAGTACTCTGTAGAGTGCCAGGCATAGAGCAGCTGCTCAGTAAATGTTCACTGAATAAACAAAAAGAGGTCAGGCATGGTGGCTCATGCCTGTAATCTTAGCACTTTGGGAGGCCAAGGTGTGTGGATCACTTGAGGTCAGGAGTTCAATACCAGCCTGGCCAACATGGTAAAACCCCTTCTCCACTAAAAAAATAAAAGTTAGCTGGGCGTGGTGGTGGGTGCCTGCAGTCCCAGCTACTCGGGAGGCTGAGGCACTAGAATTGCTTGAACCTGGGAGGTGGAGGTTGCAGGGAGCCGAGATCATGCCACTGCACTCTAGCCTGGGTGACAGAGTGAGACTTAGTCTAAAATAAAAAAGGGATAGGTGACCTGCTCCACATCATATGACCTGGAAGTGACAGCCCTCATGCTGAGTCTTGCTACTAAAAGCTTATGTTCTTTTTTTGAGATGGAGTTTTGCTCTTGTTGCCCAGGCTGGAATACAGTGGATCCATCTCCATTTACCACCACCGCTGCCTCCTGGGTTCAAGCAATTCTCCTGCCTCAGCCTCCTTAGTAGTTGGGATTAGAGGCATGTGCCACTATACCTAATTTTATGTGTTTAGTAGAGACAAGGTTTCTCCATGTTGGTCAGGCTGGTCTCGAACTCCCAAATTCAGGTGATCCACTGGGCTCAGCCTCCCAAAATGCTGGGATTATAGGCGTGAGCCACCCCGCCCACCTGAGCTTCTGGTCTTAAACACTAGGCTACACTTCCCTCACATCCCCTTCTTCTTGGGCCCTGATCACCCTGCTCTTCCATCCATCTATAGTTCCCGCCTCTGGTTTCTTCCTTCTCCTCCTCTGGGGCCCATTCTCCAGTGAAACACAGAGAAGCAGGCCAGGCGCTATGGCTCATGCCTGTAATCCCAGCATTTTAGGAGGCCAAGGTGGGTGGATCACCTGAGTTCGGGAGTTCGAGACTAGCCTGACCAACATGGAGAGACCTCGTCTCTACTAAAACTACAAAATTAGCTGGGCATGGTGGCACATGCCTGTAATCCCAGCTACTCTAGAGGCTGAGGCAGGAGAATCCCTTGAACCTGGGAGGCAGAGGTTGCAATGAGCTGAGATGGCGCCATTGCACTCCAGCCTGGGCAACAAGAGTGAAACTCTGTCTCAAATTAAAAAAAAAAAAAAAAAAAGAAAGAAACACAGCCCAGCTCTGAGCACTACCCCAGTGGTTACTGGCTGCTGAACATCAAAGTGCCTACCACAAGCCAGAGGATGGAACTGAAGGGTATGCAGGGGGCCACCTGCAAATTTCCTCACCTTCAAGGTAGGCTATCCTAGCCAGCATGACACATAGGTATTGGTGTCTCTGCTAACGCCCTCTAGATAGTAAGATTTTGTTCAAGGAGGAACAAAATACTCCTTTAAGTCACAAAGGGTCACCCTTGCACTTGCTGCCTCTTTAGCCTCTTGAGGCACAGTTGGTATCTTGATCACTCCAAGTAGGCCCCAGAAGACGGGGGAGACCCTGAATCCTCATTCTGGCAGATGGGCAAGCCCCGCTCAAACCTGCCTGCAGCTCCAAAGTAGGCACTGTACTTGAGGAACAAACCTAGGTGGCCAGGGAGGCCAGAGGCTGGTAAGGAGAGGGGTTGGGGCAGCCCAGGAGCAGGCCAACTGAGGAAGGTGAGAGAGTTGGCAAGTAAGGAGGTCCAGGAGCAAAACCCAACACCTCTAGGCGAGAAGACACCCTATGATGCCTGCTGGCGGCTCTGGAGTCCCAACCACTCACCTAGTTTGCCCATCAGCATCTGCCCCACATCCTTGATGTCATTGTACTCGTGAAGCTGGGTAATGTGGTCCTCCAGTTCATCCACACTGTAGCCTCTGGGATGAGCGATGGAGAGAGGGGGAAAGACAGCCCAGTTAAGAAAGCAGATGACGACCCCAGGCTCAGGCAGTTATAAGGCATCTTGAAGCGCCTCCTCAGTGCTAGGTACTGGGGATATGGTGAGAGCAAGATAGCTCCTGCCTTCATGAAGCTTACAGCAGGGCAGGGGATCTCCCCAGGACCTCACTCCTGGCAAACACCCCGTCTTCTTAGGGCGGAGTCTCCAGCCACAGTGGTACTATGTGACCCTGGCCACAGCTGAGGGACTTGCAGATGGGCACATAATCCAAACAGCCAGGTGGATTCCCTCAAGTGTGAAGTGCACACACTCTGCCATGTGGCTGGAGCAAGGGGCGTGGGGAACTCCAGGAGGTGTTCAAGAGCCAGCTTCCCCTACACACTGAAAACTCCACCTGCAGAGAGAGAATGGAGTCTGTGCAGAGGGAAGCAGAGGCGGAGAACATAGCTCCAGAGACTGGGAGAGCAACAGCTTTCATTCCAGACAGCTTTCCAGGTCCTAGTTCAGGACCTCAGCAGCCAGAGCATCTCCCTGCCTGAGAGGCTGCTGAAATACCCTGAATCCAGAAGCACAGTTCTATTATGCTAAGCCACTGCGACTGGGTTTCAGTTACTGGGCAGTTAGAGAGTTAAAATTTATCTTTTTTTTTTTTGAGACAGATTCTCACTCCGACACCCAGGCTGGAGTGCAGTAGCATGATCTCGGTTCACTACAACCTCCATCTCCCAGGTTTAAGTGATTCTCCTGCCTCAGCCTCCTGAGCTGGGACTACAGGTGCATGTCACCACACCAGGCTATTTTTTGTATTTTTAGTAGAGATAGGGTTTTGCCATGTTGGCCAGGATGGTCTCAAACTCCTGACCTCAAGTAATCTGCCTGCCTTGGCCTCCCAAAGTGCTGGGATTATATGCGTGAGCCACTGCGCCCAGCCAAAAGTTATCTTAACCATGCTGGGGAACCGAATGAGACTTACTCAGATATGAACTGGGAGATCTCCTTGTCCAGCATGTCCCTCTTCTCCTTCAGTTTCTGAATGTCAAGAAGCAGAGACTCCTCACTGGTCTGATCAGCCTGGCCAGATTTGGGCGATGGTCTCTGAGAGGCAGAAAAAGTCATCAGCCAGACTGACCAGTTATCCACAATTCAGAGCCTACATGTCCCCCTGTAATCACTCCCTGCTTCTGCTTGCTAATAGGCACCCCAGCCCCCTGAATAAGACTACATGTCCAAGCTTCCCTTGGAATTAGGTGTGGTTCTATGACTAAGTTCCAGCAAGTGGAACTTAATCATCTGGGATTTTTTTTTTTTTTTAGACGGAGTCTCTCTGTCACCCAGGCTAGAGTGCAGTGGCACGATCTCAGCTCACTGCAACCTCCACCTCCTGGATTCAAGCTATTCTTCTGCCTGAGACCCCCAAGTAGCTGGGACTATAGGCGTGAGCCACCACACCCAGCTAATTTTTGTATTTTTAATAGAGATGGGGTTTTACCATGTTGGCCAGGATGGTCTTGATCTCTTGACCTCATGATCTGCCCCCCTCAGCCTCCCAAAGTGCTGGCATTACAGGCATAAGCCACCGCTCCTGGCCTGATTTTTGTATTTTTAGTAGAGACAGGGTTTCACCATGTTGGCCAGGCTGGTCTCAAACTCTTGACTCAAGTGATCCGCCCGCCTCGGCCTCCCAAAGTGTGGGATTACAGGCGTGAGCCACCGTGCCCAGCTGTCAGTGGGTTTACAAAAACATTGGATAAAACCCTTCCTTGGGGTTATGTTTCATATTTGCCCTTTCTGCCTATAGAAGTTGTGAAGGCCAGTGCCTAGTACACAGCCAATCTTCAGGAAACATATGTTGAATGAGCTGTCTACACATGATACAAGAAGAGACCAAAGAAGACACTCTTCCTGGTTTTAGGTTAGTGGCTTGTAACCAGTCACTCAGCAGAATGGGTGCGCACTCTACTAGGAACTGACAAAGGGTCCAGGAGAGCAGCAATGAATGACACATCAAGTCCAGCCCACTGCTCTCATAGAATGCATAGCCTAGCCCCAAAGAGAAAGCACCCAACAATTAAGTTCTTCCTCCAGGTGCTTCCACTCAAAGCTCTACTTATGTATGGCCACATAAGAAAGGCCCTTTCCGACAGCTCTGTCTACGATGGTCATGTCTCAATCAATCATTCCGTTTCTCCTGATTTATACATATATAATTATTATTATTGTTTTTTGAGATAGTCTTGCTCTGTTGCCCAAGCTGGAGTGCAGTGGTGAGATCTTGGCTCACTGCAATCTGTGCCTCCCAGGTTCAAGTTATTCTCCTGCTAGGCGTCATCACACCTGGCTAATTTTTTTATTTTTAGTAGAGATGAGGTTTTGCCATGTTGGCCAGGCTGGTCTCGAACACCTGACCTCAGGTGATCCACTCGCCTTGGCCTCCCAAAGTGCTGGGATTACAGGTGTAAACCACCACGCCCGGCATATATAAATATTTCACCACAACCTCCGTCTCCCAGGTTCAAGCAATTCTCCTGCCTCAGCCTCCTAAGTAGCTGGGATTACAGGCAAGTGCTGCCACACTGGGCTCATTTTTGTATTTTTAGTAGAGACAGGGTTTCACCATGTTGGTCAGGCTGATCTCGAACCGTTGACCTCGTGATCCACCCACCTCGGCCTCCCAAAGTGCTGGGATCATAGGCGTGAGCCACTGTGCCCAGCCTTTTAAAAATATTTTTTTAATTTAATTTTTCTTTTAAGATGGGGTTTGTCTTGCTCTATCATCCATGCTGGAGTGCAGTAGCAAAATCACACCTCACTGTTACCTCAACCTTCTGGGCTTAAGCAATCCTCCCACCTCAGCCTCCTGGGTGGCTGTTAGGACAGGCATGTTCCACAACACTCAGTTAACTTTGTTTTTTAATTTTTAAGTTTCTGTAGAGATGGGGTCTTGCTATGTCACCCAGTTTGGTCCTGAACTCTGGGCTGGAGCAATCCTCAAACCTTGGCCACCCAAGTGTTAGAATTGTAAGCATTAGCCACCACACTTCGCCTCCTGATGTTTTATAGAATTTTTCATCACCTGTCAAGTTACGCATTTCATTATTTTCATTGTCTTATGTCGATTTACATCACTGAAGTGTAATGTCCATGCACGAAGGGACTTTTGTTCACTGCTGATTGCAGTGTCTACAACAGTACATGGCATACAGTAGGTACTCAAGATTAATATTTATTAATGAATGAATGAATAACCAATAAATGAATTATAAATCTGAAAAATGCTTTGAAGTACAGTGTGCTATGGGAGGGTCTATCAGGGCAACTGGACTGAGCCAGGAGTGGGGATAAGGCTTCTCCAAGGAAGCTGAATTTTAAGGGATGAGCAGGCTTTAGCTTGGCAGAAAGGTGGAAGAAAGCATTGCAGGCAGAGGGGACAGAACAGTTGGCCCTCTGTATCAGTGGGTTTCACACTGAAAATATCTAATTGAGAAAAAAGCATGGTTGAGTTTGTATTGAACATGTACAGACTTTTTGTCTTGTATCACCCCACAGGGGTCCTGGCAGCAATCTCCATGGATACCCAGGGATGAATGTGTACTCAAATGCTGTAAGGCAGGACAGAGCACATGTGTTGGGGGAAATGAGAGTGGTTTCCATGTATGTGAATGGGTGAGTGAGGGGACAGTAGTGTGAAAAAGAACAAATGCAACCATTCATGGTGCTATTAGAAAGGAGGAGAGGCGGCTGGGCGCGGTGGCTGATGCCTGTAATCTCAGCACTTTGGGAGACCGAGGCAGGTGGATCATGAGGTCAGGAGTTTGAGATCAGCCTGGCCAATATTGTGAAACCCCATCTGTACTAAAAATACAAAAATTAGCTGGGCATGTTGACACACACCTATAATTCTAGCTACTCAGGAGGCTGAGGCAGGAGAATTGCTTGAACCTGGGAGGCGGAGGTTGCAGTGAGCTGAGATTGTGCCATTGCATTTCAGCCTGGGTAACAGAGTGAGACTCTGTCTCAAAAAACAAAAAACAAAACGAAAAAAAAAGGAGAGGCAGAGCCCACTTCAAGAGCCTGGAGTTCCTCTGACGATGCAAGGGCAGCTGGAGGAGTTGGTTTGTGGTCCTGGTTAGGAGGCTGAGTGTGATTTCAGACTTGGCAAGTAGGAAGGCAAAGATTATGCAGGCAGCTCTGGGTATCCCAAGAAAGGTCAGGACTGGAGAGAGACAGGAGAGTTGTGGGCACTGGGGTGGGCTGAGGGCGTGGAAGTGAGACCTTGGAGTCGGTGTGTAGAAAGAGAACAAGAGGAGGGCAGAGTGACTTGGAAATGCCCACATTTACCTCAGGAGTGGCAGGGAACAGAGGAGCCAGCCAAGTGTGCATAGTAAAAGAGGCAGGAGGTCAGGAGGATGCTCCTGCAAAGAGGCCCAGAGAGGAGCAAGCACAGGGTACCAGTAAGAGTTCAGTTCAAGGCCAGATGTGGTGTCTCACACCTGTAATCCCAGCACTTTGGGAGGCCAAGGCAGGTGATCACCTGAGGCCAGGCGTTCAAGTCCAGCCTGGCCAACATGGAAAAACCCTGTCTCTACTAAAAATACAAAAATTAGTGGGCCATGGTGGCAGGTGACTATAATTCCAGTTACTATGGAGGCTGAGGCAGAAGAATCACTTGAACCTGGGAGGTGGAGGTTGCAGTGAGCTGAGATCGTGCCATTGCACTCCAACCTGGGAGACAGAGTATCACTCTGTCTCAAAAAACAAAACAAAACAAAACTAAAAGAACTCAGTTCAAAGTCCCCATCTCGGCCATGTCCTGGCTATATTCATCTCTCTGGAACTCATGGGCCTCATCTCAACATGGGGACAGTAAACCATCTTGCCTCAAAGGTTGCTAGAAGGAACTGGAAAGATGATGCATGTAAAGTAAGCTGATGGGGACAGTGCTCAATAGAGCCTGTTTTTCTTTTTTTTTTTTTTTTTTGAGACAAAGTCTTGCTGTGTCACCCAGGCTGGAATGCAGTGCAACCTCTGCTCACTGCAACCTCTGCCCCCTGGGTTCAAGTGATTCTCCTGCCTCAGCCTCCCAAGTAGGTGGGATTACAGGTGCCTGCCACCACACCTGGCTAATTTTTGTATTTTTAGTAGAGATGTCATTTGAACATGTTGGCCGGGCTGGTCTCGAACTCCTGACCTCAGCTGATCCACTCGGCTTGGCCTCCCAAAGTGCTGGGATTATAGGCAGGAGCCACCATGCCTGGCAGAGCCTTGTTTTTAAAAATGGAAGGAATGGAAGTTGGGCATGGTGGCTCCTGCCTGTAATCCCAGCACTTTGGGAGGCAGAGGCAGGCGGGTTGCTTTGAGCTTATGAGTTTGAGACAAGCCTGGGCAACATGGTGAAAATCTGTCTCTACTCAAAATACAAAAAATTAGCCAGGCATCATGGCACTTGCCTGTGGTCCCAGCTATTCGGTAGGCTGGGGTGGGAGGATGGGTTGGGCTTGGGAGGCAGAGGTTACAGTGAGCCCAGATTGCACCACTGCAAGCCAGCCTGGGTGACAGAGTGAAACTCTGTCTTAAAAAAAAAAAAAAAAAAAAGAAAAAAAGGGAAGGAATAAATTAGCATGAATGAGAAAGGCATGATCTGTAGTTAGTTACCCCATGGTCAAAAACAGTGGAAACCAACTCACTTGCAGAGAGTTCAATCAGCCAAATGCTTTTGGCAAACTGTGGTTGCCACCTTGTCATCATCATCTGGGCTCACTGTGACTTGCCCTTCAGACCTTGCCTCTGACCCTGCCATCTCTGGAGAGCCCTCTTTGCAAGTCCAACCCTGGGCTCCCCCTCTCAGAACCCATGTGCATACTTGTTCTGGAACTGTTTTTTTGCCTGTGGCTCCTGGAGGACAGGGGGCTCTCTGGCACACACCTGTATTGCGCAGTTGCTAAATCAATAAACAAACAAATACAAAGTCTTTCCTGATCTAACTTCTTCTTTTTTTTTTTTTGAGACGTAGTCTAGCTCTGTTGCCCAGGCTGGAGTGCAGTGGGGCAATCTCGGCTTACTACAACTTCCACCTCCCTGGATGAAATGATTCTCCTGCCTCAGCCTCCTGAGTAGCTCGGATGACAGGCATGCACCACCACCCTCGGCTGATTTTTTTTATTTTTAGTAGAGATAGGGTTTCACCAAATTGGCCAGGCTGGTCTTGAACTCCTGACCTTATATAATCCACCCGCCTCAGCCTCTCAAAGTGCTGGGATTACAGATGTTAGCCACCTCTCCTGGTCCTCATGATCTAACTTGAGAGTGGTGGTGGTGGTAGTGGTAGTGGCAACTCCAACTGGGGGACGAGAGGAGGAAGAGGCTGCGTTTTGGGGGTGACTTGCCAGAGAAGAGGAGAGACTATTAGCAACTAAAGGAGTGGCCAAGGTGAACACCAGGCATTTTCCTGACTGGGGAGCTGTGGGTTTGTTTAAAGGCGCGGCTGGGTGAGGGGTGAAACCAGCAAGCAGGAGAGATGGCTGGTGCTTGACTGGAGTGAAAGGCATCTGAGGTGGCAGGAGACAGGAAGGGGAGGGAGAAGAGTTAAGACTAGGACAGGACAGGATAGCACTTCTTTGAAGACTGGCAGGCGGGAGGAAAGGAAGGGGAGGGATTGAGAAAAGACCTGGAGGTTCTCAGTCGGCTGGGAGACGACATGGAAGAGGGCCAAGTGGGGAACAGCTGCTGTTGGGATGGGGAGGATGGCTGGGAGCGGCAAGGATTCATACGGAGGGAGTGTCGGGGATGGGAAGGTGGGTGTGCGTAAGACATACTCACAGGGGATCGGAAGGCCCCGCGGCAACTTCGGGTAAGTCCTGATTCAGTCCTGCAGAGGAATCCGAGGGGAAAGCCTGATTGAACCCACAGTCCGCTCTGATAGGACAGGGATACCGTGGGGATGCGGGAGGAGAAGCGTCTGGGAAGTAGGAGGGGCTGGGAAGTAGGAGCGCCCGGAACTGAAAAGGGGACACATACGCTCCCAGGATCAGGGTAGAGACTCTCTAGGAAGGGGAAGTTCCGAGAGGGGGGTTGTCTGGAGCACTGGATGGGAGTCTTTGGAAGTGGTTTCTGGAAAGGCAAAGTCTGGGGCAGGGCTGTGAGGAGTCAGGAAAGAAACTGTGGAGTCCACTTCTCGCCCACCTCCTGAGCCCAGGGGTCCGAGGCCCCCGGATCAGGGGGTTGAGTGGCGCAAGAGGGTCCAGGGCGGGAGTCGGAGAACGGCCTCTCAGGTTCTGACCGCGAGCTCGAACGGTCGCACAGAAAGGTGCGCGCGCACCCAACGGCAACCTGCCCCGCTCCTCTCCTGGGATGGGCGGGGACAGCAGTTGCGTGCGCAGCTTTTGTTGTGACGCCACAGGTCCCTCTGGCCACGCCGCCGCCTGGCCACGCCTCCTTTCCGCTTCATCTTTCTCATTGGCCAATGGGCTTGGATCGTTGAGGCCACGCCCCTAATCTGCCCTCTAATAGCGCCCTGGTTACGCCTCCTCTGGCTCCGTCGCACAGCTGCGCGGTGGCTGACTGACTTGCGCAGTGGTTGCCGGGATTGCGCTGATGTGGCCCCAACCCCGCCTCCCTCCCCGCCCCGCGATGTCGGAAGAAACCCGACAGAGCAAATTGGCCGCAGCGAAGAAAAAGGTAAACCGCGCCGGGTCGCGGCCCCCCGACCCAGCCCCAGCCCCCCTCCTATGGCATGACCGCGGCCAGAGTCCCTGCCACTCCTGAGGCACACCGGGCTGGGCCCCCCGGCGCCTCTGGGCTGCCCCCACCAAAGTCTTGTCAGCCAGCCCCGCCCCCTCAACCGCCCAGCCCCCGCCCTCGCCAGTCGCCCCCGGGTGACTTTGGGCTGGTGACTCCCGGGGCTCCCCGCTCCAGACTCGGCCCTCACCTCCTGCCGCCCCAGGTCCAACTTCCCTGGGCTCTTTGGGCTGGTGTTTCCAAGGACCTCGGTCCCCACCAGCTCAGCCAGTGACTTTGGGCCCGAGACTCCAGGAGCTCCCCTCTCCAGACTCGGCCCTCACCTCCTGCAGCCCCACACCGGCTCTCCCTGGGCTCTTTGGGCTCGAGTCTCCAAGGACCTGGGTCCTGGCCCTGTGCTCCCCTCCCCCATCACAGAGCGGCGACTCGGACGTCGCGTCGATGTCCCCCCCACCCCCGGGAAGAGTGGAATGTAGTGACGTCACAACCCCTCTCGGAACCGTAATTAGTGCTCTAGACCAGCCTTTGATCTTAGGACCCAGCCCCATAAGTGTTCTCATCCCGTTTCTGGTTCCTCTGGTCACAGCATAAATTTCCAGCTGGAAGGGGAATGGGGGCTATGGGACCTAGGAGGGAGAGGTTTCAGGCTGCCTTACTCCCTTAACACAAACGTTGACAGTGTGAAAAGCCTGCACTTCCCCTGTGAGTTCAAAACGTTGGCAGTATCTCTGGTTGGCAATGTGAGAATGGGTTTGGTTTGGTTTTCTCCCAGGCTTCTACTCTCCAGAGAGACTTTAACATTTTTTTCTGATCTCTCTACCTCATATTCGAATTCTCCATGGTTCTGGGACCAGAGTGCCCTTTAATCAGTGGTCTTTGGAATGAGATCTGCTTATCTTCTTTGGAACAGGTCTTGGGAAATTGAACTTGGCAGCATGAATCTTTCTCATATCATCTCATCCTGGGGTACTTGGAGTGCCATGGATAAATATGTATCTTTCTTTCTGAAGCATCAGTTTCCCTTGATTCTCGTGAGAGAGAAAAACATTAATGTACTTAGGGATGACAGTCACATAAATGTGTGAGAATACACCAGACTTGGCTTGGGTTGTCCTCTTTCTGTTAAATTCCTAGATTTAACAGAAAGGCTGTCTTCTGCCATGAAGATACATTGATGTAAAAGTTTGAGAGGTATTCGTGCATTTCTTACCCTAACAAACATGTGAGGATGTATGATTCTAAACCACACAGTGTATAGTTCTTGCCTACTTAATTTTTGCTTTTCTACCTCTGCCTCTGGATTTGGCCCCTGGTAGCTGCTGATCTGTGGCAAAACCCCCGAGCTCAGAGTCAGAAGACTGAGTTTAAGTTCAATTATTGCCTTTTTTTAAGCCATGGTATCAGTCCCTCTCATTCACTAAGTGATTGTGATAAGACCTTGTACAGTTGTTGGTGGCATTAAATCAGATGGTCTATAAGACTATTTTGGAAAAATTGTAAGGTAGGATGTAACTGTAGGGGCGTGTAGTTCTCATGAGTATTACTGCTCTTCTTTTCCACAGCTAAGAGAATATCAGCAGAGGAATAGCCCTGGTGTTCCTGCAGGAGCAAAAAAGAAGAAGAAAATTAAAAATGGCAGTAGCCCTGAGACAACCAATTCTGGTGATTGCCACTCATCAGAGGATGTGAGTCTTGGCTGACCAGGCTCCTGGGGACAGGGGGCCCAAGGGGCAGTAGAGGGTAATTGTTATGATTGTGGAAGAACTGTCCGGTACTGGTTAAGAGTTCTGGGTTTGTATCGTACCTGTCCATCTGCTAGGGATATGATTTTGGTGCAAATTGTTGGAGCTTTTTGGGCCTCTCTTTTCATACCTGTAAAGTATTGTTTTATTTACACTTGCGAAGTTTAAATGAGATTTGTTATTGTTGTTGTGTTTATGTTAATCCCTAGTACAGGGCCTGTAAACACTTAGGACACCCAGGAAATGGTAGTTGCTGTTTCATTTTCCTCATCCCCAGTCTCAAGGGGAAGCCAGGCCAATGAGAACAGCCACTTGTCATCAGGCTATCCCTTTAGGAGTCACTGAAAGGGCCCCAGGGTGTGGTGAGGAGAGCCCCAGGTGCTAGAATTAGAAGATCTAACTTTTGAGTTCATCTTTGTCACCAGCTTGCTGGATTACTACAGAAAAACCACTTCTTTCCCTGGGCCTCAGTTTCTTCCTCATAAGATGACATTGGATAAGATCAGTATCTTTCAAGCTTGTTTTTTTAGCTAGAACTCCCTTTGTTCAAGTGAACCCTCACTCAGAAGTCTGGTTTTTAAAATTAAGGTGGAAGTCTATAGCTCTACCAGATTCATCGCCCACATCCTGGGCCTGAGGGGTCCAATGAGCATATTAAGAGCTGCCCTGATCAGGTGACTCCACCTTGTGTGATTGCATTGCTCAGGGGACTTTTCCATCTACTTGTTTCTGCCCCTGGCAAGGCAGCAGGTGGCCATTTGGAAGGATGGCACAGGCCATGGTATTGATCTCCTCCACTCTTCTTCAGCATTTCGTTTCCCTGAACCCACATCTTCCTCCTTCCTTGACTTTCTTGCCTCTCTGTAAGCCATTTCTGTCTTTCTCCCCCTGCCCTTGTTTTTCCCTTTTTGCCTCCTGTAGATTCAGGACATTCTGAAGGTGCTGGTGTCCGACCTTAACCGCTCCAATGGGGTAGCGCTCCCCCCATTGGACAAGTGGAAGGTGAGGCAGTGCCGAGACCCCTCTCTGGCTTGCTCTCTCCAGCTGTGCATGCCCCTGAGGCTTCTCTGGTTTGGGGGATACTTTGCCTCTGGCTTATTTTATGTTGCTGCCATTAACCTTCAGCCTGTTTATGTCCGCTTCTTCACCTGCTTGATTGATTGGGTTTTTATCCTTCCCCTAAAACTTGTATCATCTTGGAGAAGGTGAGACATATCTTACAGTTTAAAAGTTCAAAGATAATTTGGGAATAACATTCAGAACAGGCGTGTAGGATTGTGGGCTTTTGTTTTTCCTTTTCTTTTTTTTTCTTTTTTCTTTTTATTTTTTTCAAAAAGAGACAGGGTTTCACCATGGCCGGGATGGTCTCGATCTCTTGACCTCATGATTCGCCCGCCTCGGCCTCCCAAAGTGCTGGGATTACAGACATGAGCCACCGTGCCGGGCTCCTTTTCTTTTTTTTAGAGACTGAGTCTCGCTCTGTTGGCCAGGCTGGAGCGTAGTGGCATGATCTTGGCTCACCGCAACCTCTGCCTCCTGGGTTCAAGCAATTCTCCTGCCTCAGCCTCCTGAGTAGCTAGGATTACAGGGACCCAGCACTGTGCCCGGCTCTTTTTTTGTATTTTTAGTAGAGATGGGGTTTTGCCATGTTGGCCAGGCTGGTCTTGAACTCCTGAGCTCAAGTGATCCACCTGTCTCGGCCTCCCAAAGTGCTGAGATTACAGACATGAGTCACTGCTCCCGACCTCAGATTTGAGCTTTTGAATGCTCAGTGTGGGTACTCTCAGACTAGGGGAGATGAAAAAAAAAAACCTCAACAAACCTTTAGGATTTCCCCTAAAGGCGAAGATCAGTAGACCACATAGAAGTTAGTGATTTTTTTTTTTTGATGAATTCACTTTGATTTAAGAGTATGGAACAAAGGGTTAAGAGAAAATAAGTTCACATTATAGTTGGAAGGATTGAAGCTATCTTTTCAGAGGAAATAACTGTAAAAGATGTAAGGTTCCCTAGACAGATGAGTGACCAAGATGTTCTGCCCCTAATCTCTCTTAAAATCAAATGAACATTTAACCACATTCATTGAGCTCTTGACAACAAAGGCACTTTGCTAAATAAACAGTGGAGAAAATAGATGAACAAGGTAGGCTGCACACCTAGGGAGGCAGACTCCTTTGAAGGAGGCAAGAGAGAATTTTGGAAAATTCCAAATGCTCAGCTTGGGGGGAGGTTGGTTCCGAATGGACTCCAGGCTGGAGGAGGTGGCATTTGAGGCTGGCTTGAAGATTAAAGGTGGGTAACATTCATCCATATGGGGAATGGGGGAGGCAGGGGGGAGAGTGGTGAGGTCATGGCCAGTGCTATAAACTTACAGAGCACCTTTCAGGAACACAGGGAGCCTGGTGTTGGGGTACACAGGGCTAGGAGAAAATCTCCTCTGGCTGTGATTTGCCATTTCCTCCATATCTAACTTGTCTCAGGGACTGCTGGCAAGCCAGAGGAGCAGGGCACAAATAGAGCCTGATCCTGTTGAAGAAGGGCATGGGGAGAGGGACTGAGACAGAGCACCCTTGGCGGCTGTTAGAGAGTTGTTCAGTCATCACACTGGTTACCCTCCAGTCGGTCAGGTCTGTCCAGGTGCTATGACTCACCTTGCTGGCTCAGAGGAGACACTGGGGAATACAGGCCTTGATGAGTCCTGCAGTCATGTATTTGGCTTTTGCTCTGCCAATGGTCCAGTTGATTAGGGGTCTGAGGCCTGTTTACTAATGCTCTGAGATTCTGTGCCAGCCCAGGTCCCTCCATTCTGAAAACAAAGGCCTAGATCCTCATATTTCCTTCTTGCTTTTGTTTTTGTTTTTGAGAAAGAGTCTCCCTGTTTCTCCTGGAGTGCAGTGGCGCAATCTTGGCTCACTGCAACCTCCCCCTCCCAGGTTCAAGTGATTTTCATGCCTCAGCTTCCCAAATACCTGGGATTGTAGAT